TCAATTCCAAAATAAGTAAAATTTTTATTGCAGAAAAAATGTAGATCAAAATTGGTAATAATTTGAAACAGGAGAGGTTTTTTTTTTCAAAATTTTTAATTTTTCAAATAAATTAAACACATCATCCTTTTAAAGAAATCATTTTTCCATTTATATTATTTTATTATAATTGATTCTATAATGTTTTGTAGAAAAGGAATAAAGTAAGAGTTTGGTAGTTCATTATATGATAATGAAATTGGTATGATAGCTGAATGAAAATACATTAAAAAAAAAAAAAAAAAAAAAAAAAAAAAAAAAAATTTATTTCCTTTTTTTTTTTTTTTAAATTTCTTTAAAATTTTTAAAGATTTTTTTAATCAATGAGCGCTTTTTTTAAAATTTTTTTTTTTTAAATTTGAATTTTATTAATTATAATATTTTTATTTTCCTTTTCAAAACCATATTGATAAATCTAATATTATGGTGCTATTTGGGCACTTGTGTTGTTAATAAAAAAATAAAAAAATTTGTGCATTTATTATGTTTTTTTTTAAAAATCAATTTAATTATTTATATATTAGAAAAAGGTTATTTTGGGATATTTAATTAACTTACTTTTGATAAATAGTCTTTTGGGGTTTAGGATTTTGTCAAGACTCCATATTCATCATACAGTTGGTTTGTAGTTCTATCAAATTTAAAATATTTGTATAATCTTGTAGAGACAATAAATAAAACATCATCTGCCATATTCTCACCTGGACAAGATCTAGGACCTGATGAATAAGAAACATGAGATGCAGTGGAAGAGGATTACAATTGATAAAATTGTATTGAATAAACTTGGTGATGATTCGCTAAATTGTGTTTTTGAATAAATTTGTTTAAATAAATGTTTCAAATAATGTTTCAGGTAGAGTTATTTATAACAGTACCCTCAAATAAATATGTAAACCCCCAACTTTATTAAGATGGAAATGATAATTATTGAATTAATAAGTCATATTTAATAGTAATCATATCGATCTGTAACTCTGTCAAGTTTGCTCCTTTAAATATTTGTGTATATCTCAGTAGGGGAATAATACCTGATTTTATTGTTTTCTTATTTCATATTCATTTATAAGCTGTCTTTGGGTGTTGTCTGTGATTCTTTCAAAAATATACCCCAATTTTAGTAAATATCAACACATTATCACAGCCATTTTTAAAATAAATATTTATTTTTTAAAAATCTAATAATTTTTTAAAAAAATAATATTTTAAAATTTTTTATTATATTTTTAATAATGTAAACTATAGCACATCCAATAAATAATAATAATAATTTTAACATTACTGAAAATATGTTTAAAACCTTTCGAGAATAAGTAAGTAAATCAATACATCTATAAAACAACAAAAACAGCAACAACAATCCCACAAACATATAGAAAATGGCATCTTTGAAGAAATAGAAACAGAACTACTGACATAAATTAAATAAACTTCTATTAATATTCAAAAGATAGATTTACCAATTAAAACCATTCAATATCCTTACAGGATCTGCTGTCGTCGATATCATGAATGAAAGGATATTAATCAACTATATAAATATCTGGCCTAATAAATCCAACCACGAAATATTACTTCTATATTATAATAATCTCAAAACTAATATCAATAACTATCATAAAAAGTCACAAAGTCGCAGAAACTCAAATTCTTTCAAAGTCTTTCAATCTCGAGTAAAATTCAAATCAATTGAAAAAAATTGGCAATTATGGAATGTAAGTAAAATTAAATTAAAAAAATAAAATAAATTAAAAAAAATCAAAGTATTTAATAACACTTTTTTATAGGGAAAATTTAGAGATTTAAAAAATTTAGACAATGATTTTTCAAATGTATACCCCCAATTTTAGTAAATATCAACACGTTATGCCATTTTAAATTTTTAAAATAAAAAAATTATTTTTAAAAATCAAATAATTTTTTAAAAAAAAATTTTTATTTTTTTTATTTTTTTTTAATATTTTTATTTTATTTTTTTCGATCACAACAATCAAACACATGCATAAATAATTTTAATAATGTAAACTATAGCACATCTAATCAATAATAATAATAATTTTAACATTACTGAAAATATGTTTAAAACCTTTCGAGAACAAGTAAGTAAATTTATACATTATTATAAAACAACAACAAAAGCAACAATAACAGCAACAACAAACCCATATACAAATAGAAAAAGGCATCGTTGAAGACATATAGAAAATAGAAACAGAATTATTAACATAAACTAAATTAACTTTTATTAATATTCAAAAGGCATATTTACCAATTAAAACCATTCAATACCCCCAACAGTATCTGCTGTCGTCGATATCATGAATGAAAGGATTTTAATCAATTATATTAATATTTGGCTATGTTTATCAAATGCACAGTGAACCTATTAAAAGAGATTTTATAATATTTACAAGTAATAATAATAATAAATACCAATCCAATCATGAACTATTGCTCTAATAATAATAATAATAATAATAAAAATAATAATAATAATAATCTCAAATTAATATCAATAACTATCATAAAAAGTCACAAAGTCAGAAACTCAAATTCTCATATAGTATGATGCTTCATCCTTCTGCTGGCATCTCCCACCATTTTTTCAACTTTATAAATGCAAACTTATAATCAGACTTACCAAGTATTAGAACTGTTCAAGTATATAGAGGTTATTTATTCATTGTAGAAATGTAAATTAAAACATCTGCAGATTGCAACTTATTCTTATATCTTTAATTAAATCAAAATATTCAAGATATAGAATAAATCAAGCTAACAACAACAATTTAATAATGTAGATGGTGTCTTAATAGCTAAAAGTGAATATTAGAATATGACCTACCTGAAATCTTTTCAGTATTAGGTTACATTATCAAAACAACATTTTAGCAATCAATCAAATAATTCAAAAAAACAATCGAATATTTAAATATCGAATTAAATAAATTTAATAATAGAGCACAATATTTAAATACTCCAATTTTAGTCATCTATATATAAAAAATAATAGTATTTATTCAGTAAATCAATAATCAGCCTCAGTTATAAGAAGCCTTTTAGAAAGCTAATATTAAAACATTTTATAAAAATTAATAGTTAAAAACCAATATAGTGCCAAACCAAAGGCAGTCCTCATTAAGAAATAACAGTCACACCCAAACATCACCAAATTCGCCTTATTATCATATAATAAATAAAACGCCTCACATTTTTCAGGACCATCACTACTGCGGGTGCTGCAGATGGTGCAGGTGACACATGAACAAGTGGATCAACCAGCATATCAACAGGTATAATAGAAGGTAACTCTTCAGACTGGAAAGACTCTTCAGATGCATTAGAGGACTCTTCAAGAGGTTCATCAGGTGATCAAATAATACCACAACATCGACAACCAGAAACAATACCAGTTAGAACAAATCATTAAAGAATTGAGTAAACGATATAAGCTGCTTTCAGAGACAAATTAGAAAACAAAATGAACATACCAAGAAATACAAAGTAGGTGATCATATAATAACACAAACACAACAGCAATAAAAACAACCAGAAGCAATAGCAGCCAGATCAAGACAATACAAATATAAACGTAGTGCACTAAGACTACCTGAAAAAAAAAATTGTATGTTGTATTTATTTCAACGAAATTGACCCTAATCTAATTTGAGAATGTTAATGCATCCTCGAATGATAATTTATTTCCACCTTTATGGTGGAAGTTTTTGGAAAAATCAAAACATTAAGAATAGGGCTAAAATTAATCAATAAAGAAGTGCAGCTTAAAATTCTCTTATCAAAAGCAGAAAACGAAATCAAAATTCCCAAAGGTTATATTAAAGAGTCAGAAATCTTTTGGTGATTCCCCTCGTTCATCTGGTTCACAATCTCCTTCAAGTGCCTCCGTTAGGGAAAACGATCAAGTAAAGTTCATTTCTTTAGAAAAGCAACAATACTAAATAAGAGATTACAATTCTTCAAGATAAATTCAGTAAACAATTTTTCAACACTGGTCATGATACTCCAGTTGGTATATCAGAAGTTTCACTGAGTTCTCGTACTGATAGAGGGGATGGATCCATCAGCATTGGTTTCTAAGCAAACTGATGAATTCGAAGAGAAAGCAAAAAATAAATCCATTAAAAGCGGTAGCATCAAGTTCATCAAAATACAATGTTGGTAGTTCAAATGCAGGCGCTAATAGTTCACCGATCATCTCATTGAATACTTCAGAAGAAATCAATGGTTATAGAATAATCAAAGAGATTGAACATGAATTTGAAAGTTATAGAATTTAGCAATGGAGAAAGATTTTGAAACCAAACAGTTAATAGAAAGTCAAAGAAATAGCAGTATTTTTGTTGTCGATCCAGTATGCTTAATATAAAAAAATGAAAAAAAAAAAAAAAAAAAATAATAATAATAATATAATAGATTATAGGATTAAAATATCCAATAGATTAGTAAATATAATAATCAAAGCATAAATAAGCTTCAATAAATTATATTATTACTGTTATTGTTACATTTAGAAATTAAAATGGAATAGATTGGGTTTGACTTCAAAAAAGATAAAATCTAATACTATTCAGGAACCTTTGTAATATGCATTGTAACTCAAGGGGCCAAAGGTATCTATGTGGGCATCACTGTTTATTCCTCATATTTCGGCAGTCCCTCTATGAAGTTTTTGTTAAAATATCTATCAAATTAGATTATACACCCCTTGAAGCAGAGATTCGTTGCCATACTCCAACCCCAGAGAAACTATCGACAAATGAATAATTAAATACTATTATAGAGTCATTCTGCCAAACTAGAACGTCTGGATTTTACATTATAAAAAGGATAATTGGGTATTTTCAAAAATGGATAATGAAATATCAATAAAGAAAACATTCAATCAAAAACAACATTCAACGCTCGAAGGATGTTATTTTTTAAATAAATAAATAAATTAAAAAAAATAAATTTTAAAAAAAAAAAATATAAAAATTAAAAGTGTATATTTATTTTATTTATTTTTTATAACTAATTGTTTATTTTTCTATATTTTGATTCTAAGATTTTGTTTTCTTGGAGCAATTCTTTGATTTATTCCCATTTAATGAAAGAATAATAGGTCTGATTGTATACAACTAATATTGATTAATAACAATTATAATGGTTAGTAATTACGTTTATATCTTTTTTATTTCCTCTACGCACCCATATGTTTGGTTATTATTATTTTATTATAATTTACTTACTTTTGATTCCATTAAAGTATTGTGGTTTTGAGTGAATTAAATGATTGTGATGTTTTGAAGAAAAGGTGAATATAGTTTACATTGATGGATACCTCGAAGATTGTGGCGGACAAAAACCCAAATTTTTGGTTAGATTACAAATTGAGACTTAAAAATAATGATTAGAACTAAACTAAATAAATGTCAAAATTAAATATTAGTGATTTTATATTTATATATAATTAAAATTATTCTGGTTTTATCATAATGGTTACCTTTCTAATATTTAGAATTTCTTTGTTCATTTCCTGAGCATTTTTTGAAGAGTTGAACTAAATGTTGCAATATTTGTTACTAAAAGTTGATAATGATGTGAATATTTCTGAATTCCTTGATGAAACTTTTTTGAATGATTCGAGACCAATATAGTCAACAGATTCTTCTGACTCGGAACTCAAATGAGAAATTTATATAATAAATGCTCATCTGAAAGATCTTCATCGTCATCGGGATAGGTATAATCATCGGAATCATCATCGGAATCTAATTCATTATCGGAATAAATATAATTGTATAATATTGATCTTGCAACACTACCCTCTATCTGCAATTAAAAAATGAAAAAAATTAATATAAGTTTATATATTATGTAAAAATATAAATGTATGAATTACTTACTAGAATAAAGCTCTATTTATAAATGACAGTCTATTGTATTGAAAATTTTAAATTTTATAGTTTGTTCTAATTTGGAAATAATGTAATCTAATTTAGAATTTGGGTTTGTTTTTTTGAGACATCATAAACACCATTTGATTGAATTGAGGAACTTCTAATGAAATCGATACATTTCTTCTTGTAACTTTCTATATTCCTTTAGAAATTCTTCAGTGGCCTTTTCTTCTTCACTCAATGGAGCTGGTTGAATACTTAAACCTCCCAATGAATTGACCAAATCTTCTAATTGGTCAGAATCATCGTGTTGGTTGTCCTCTTTTTCCCAACTCTCTTCTTTGGTGATGCATTTGTTGATCGATTTGTTTAATTTGATTTTACCATAACAAAATGCAAAATAAAAACCAATGGAACCAAAAAAAAATAAAAAAATATATATATATAAAAAATAATCCATTTTATTTTACAAAAATAAATTATTATTTATAAATAAAAAAATACTAGAGATATAAATTATTATATATAAAAAAATATGATATTTACAAATAAAAAAAAACTTATTATTATTTATAAATAAAAAAAAATTATTATTTACAAATAAAAAAAAATTATTATTTACAAATAAAAAAAAATATTTAAAAAAAAAAAAAAAATTTTTATATTTAAAAAAATAGTGAAAAATTTTTAAATATTAAAAAAAAAAATAAAAAATAATTAAAACAAAAAAAAAATTGAATAAAAAAAATATTAAACAAAAAAACAATAGTTTTATAAAAATTTATTACACATGAACTTATTATTTCATTCAATAGAATAGTTAATTCAACCTTATTTTTTTTTTAAATATTAGATTGATAATTTTTAAAAAAAAAAAAATATTAATATTCATAAAATTGCAGTATTTGATAAAAAATTTTAAAGCTCGCTTACTGTTATTTGTTTTATTATTATATGAATAAATAAATAAATAGTTTAAAATAATAATTATAATTAATATCTATGCCATTCACCTGTCAGTTTTTTAAAGAGGTCCACCTTCAAAAATATATGATTTGATAAAGCCCGGGCATATATCCATATATTAAAGAGAAATGGTTTAAAAAACGGAGGATTACCACGATGCCAAACACTATGTGAATGTCACACCCCTGCTCCCTTAAGGGCCATTAATAAGGTTACTTTGACATAAATAAATAATTAATTATTATTTTATTTACTATTTCATTTATTTGTTATAATATTTATTTATTATGATTGATTTTTTTTATTATTATTTTATTTTATTTTATTTTATTTTATTTTATTTTATTTTATACAAAAAAAATTTATTAAAACTATTTTTAAGAATAAATAAAAATATAAATTTAAAAATGTGTTGTAAAATTATGGGGCATCTTTTCATAAGATTTTTTAATACACACATTACCGCCATATTTATTTTTAAAATTCAAATAATTTTTTTTAAATTTTTCCCAATTTTTTTATTTTATTTTTATTTTTATATTTTTCAACACACAACAAACACACCCACACAAATAATTTTAATAAAGTAAATATATTACACCAAAAATAATAATTTTAAAATAACCGAAATATGTTTAAACATTTTTAGAACAATTTAGAAATCAATACATTATTTTAAAACAACAAAAACAACAATAATAATAACAACAAACCCACACACATAAAAATTAGCATCGTTGAAGAAATATAGAAAATAGACGCAGATCCACAAACATAAATTAAATTAACTTTATTAATATTCAAAAGGCATATTTACCAATTAAAACCATTCAACACCCAACAGGATCTGCTGTCGTCGATATCATGAATGAAAGGATTTTAATCAATAATTAAATATTTAGCATATGTTATCAAATGCACAGCGAACCTATTAAAAGAGATTTTATACTATTTACAAATAATAATAAATACCAATCCAATCATGAACTATTGCTCAATAATAATAATAATAATAATTATAATAATAATAATAATAATAATAATAATAATCTCAAATTAATATCAATAACTATCATAAAAAGTCACAAAGTCAGAAACTCAAATTCTCATATAGTTTTATGCTTCATCCTTCTACTGGCATCTCCCACCATTTTTTCAACTTTAAAAATGCAAACTTATAATCAGAATTGCTAAGTATTAGAACTTTTCAAGTATATAGAGGTTATTTATTCATTGTGGATTATGGAAAAAGATTTAGAAACCAAATTAATAGAAAGTCAAAGAAATAGCAGTGTTTATTGTAGAACTAAAATGATGATGCAGGCTGAACAACTTAGAAAGTTATAAGATGAACAACTTTGAAAATTAGAGATTTCTGACTCAAAAGGTTCATTTAGAAACAGTTAGAAATGAAAATACTCAATTATTGTAAAGCTGAAAATTGAAAATATCGAAGAGGAGATAAGACAATGAATGGAAGAAAAGTTAAATCTTTTAAAAGAACAAACAAATCATCAACTTTTAAAATCTAGTATGCTCAAAGAATCACTCTTAAGAGATCTCAAAAATAGATAGGTTATTTTAGAATTACTCGAATTAGTTTAAGGTAATATATAAATATAATTTTTTTTTAGAGTAAATTTAGCAGCATCTTTTACGACGATGACCAATATCAATATCAATATTAATAATGTTACTGTTACCACTACATGGATTAAAACATGGATCAAAATCTCCTTTATTTTTTTATTTAAAAAAACTAGAGATTAAAAATTATCTTTATTCTCAGTTTTTACCCATTATCGTTATCTTATTCATTTAAAATTTTTTTTTAAAAGTTATCTCTTTTTTTAAAAAAAATTATCTCTTTTTTTAAAAAAAATTATTCATTTTTATCGATTTTTAAAATTTGCAAATTGATGTAAAATAACAGCACAAACACACCCATCACAATTATTCTCTTTTCCGCCTTTCTTTTAATTTTTTTTTAAAAATTTTTTTAATTTTTTTTAAACATTTAATATATTTTTTTTTTTAATTTTTTTTTAATTATAATCCGCGCTTTTTTAAAAATTTTTTTTTTTTGATTTTTAAATTTTGAATTTTATTAATTATAATATTTTTATTTTCCTTTCAAAAACCTTCACAAAACCATATTGATACTAACACTAATATTATGGTGCTATTTTTCACTTGTGTTGATGCTTATATTCACACCTCTTTAATAATAAAATGACAATATTACAGTGCCCGAGGAAAATATGTAGACCCCCTGATATTTTTATATATGTGTTATAAATTGATTAGTTTGGATAGTTTTTTTTAATAAATATTGACACAGCCTAAAAATAATAAAAAATGGTAATAAAAAAAAGTGTGGGAAATATGGGTAAAAAAAAAAAAATTAAAAAAATAAATTTAAATTTTTATCTCTTTTTTTTAATTTTTGAAATTTTAAAATTTTTTTTATATCATTTTAAATTTTTACAAACTGAAAATAGTGCAAAAATAATTTCTAGAAAATAAACAAAATGAGGTTAAGTGATGAACTTCGATACTCAATATTATCATACAAAATCAGAGACCATTACTCAAATAGAAAAATTGCAAAAAAATTGGGTGTCCACAAAACAAAAGTGGCAAAAACAATTCAAAGATATGAACAAACAGGTTCAATCAATGACCATCAACGTTTTGGAAGAGAAAAAAAGATTCATGAAAGAGATGAACGTTTATTATGTTTCAAATTTTTGAATGGTGAGCTGAAGAATGTGAAATTAACAGTGGTTTGGTATTATTCAACAACTGGCCACACCAGATTAGACTGGTTAGTTAGAAACGTATTGCATAGGAATAACATTGTTTATAAAAAGAAATTCATGAAACCTCGATTGTAAAAGAGTGGGTGATCTTCTATCTGGAAAACATATAAACAACCAAAACAAACAAACAAATAATAAATAATAAAATACCTTATAATGAGACTTTTTGGGTTAAAACTATCTTTATTGATAATATTGATAATATTAATAATATTGATATAATGATCTTTATTTATGAATTTTTTATGCCTTTTTTTTGGCGAATTATTTTTGAAAAAATATTAAAAAAATTAAAAAAAATTAAAATAAAAATTTCGGTTAAAAGAAATTTTTATGAAACACGTTGCAAGAAGCCATCGTATTACTTTTTATGGGAAAAGCTTTATAGGCTATAAAAACCCAATTATATATATATATTATATATTAATTATTATATAATTAATATGTGAGTGTCTAACACCTTCCCCTCCTTTCTTTAAGGCGATTAATGTTTAGGAAGTGGCTTTATTACTCTACCAGATCTTGTGGTTGATTTAGTAATTTTTATGTTGACATCAGAGTTATCATCAGTATCTATATCTTTATTTTTACTTTTAGATGATTTTTTATTTTTTATTGTTTTTAAAGATGCTTTTGATTTTTTTGGAGTATTGGAAGGTTTCGAAGAAGAATTTGAGCTCATAGCTTCTTTGTTTTCTTCATCTCTTCCCTTTTTAGAGTTCAAATTATTATTTGGATCTTTCCAATACTCTCTTAATACATCTTCACAATTGGTAAGGTCTATCTCTTTATTCCATGTTGGTGAAGGATAGCCTTTCCATTTTACCAAGTAAAGTTTATTTCTTTTATCATGGTTTAATATTTTTTCAACCTCGTATTCCTCTTCACCGTCTTCCATTTCTTCTGGATCAGGCATAGAAATTTCGTCTCTCAACCAGTCTTCGTCTTCATATAGTTTGACTAATTGATCCATATTGAAAACATTGTTTCTTTTTGGATAACCGGTATCAAGAGTAACATTGTTACCATTAATTTCTATGATTTTGAATGGACCACAATTTTTAGATTCTAATTTGTGTGAGATTAAATCGATAGAATCACTTGTTTTGAAATATTTTCTTTTTACAAGTACTTTTTCTCCTACGACAAATATTAAACCTCCACGTTTTTTATTATAATACTTTTGCGACGCAACTTGAGCATCTAGAATGTTATCACGTACAATTTTCTTTATATTACTCATTGGGATACGATTCTTTGTCAAAGTATTAAAATGATTGACAGGTGTTGGTGGATTAAATCCATAAACTACTTGGAATGGAGACATCTTTGTAGATTTATTCGATGCTGAGTTGAGCGCAAATTCAACTAATGGAATCAGTCCAGCCCAACTTTCGCCATATTGCTCTGCAATTTTACGAAGCATACGAATTATTTCTCTATTCATTCTTTCAGTTTGACCGTCACCTTGTGCTCTATAAGCAACTGTCATTTTTAATTTAGAATCCATTGTTTTTGCCCACAATGTCCATATTTCCGAAAGGAATCTTGGGTCTCTATCAGACACAATAGTTCTAGGATAACCGTGTAATCTAAATACATGATTCAATAAAAGGTCAGCTGTTTGTTCTGCAGTGATTGTTTTTGAACAAGGTACTATGTGTACCATTTTAGATAATCTACAAACTATAACACATACTTGATCAACTTCAACAATAAATCCAGAAAAGGTATATGGTGTTTTTGGTAAAGATAAGAAATCTATAGAAATATCTCTCTAAACTTCGAATGGGATTTCCAAACTTTGAAGTAAACCGTTATCTTTTCTGTTAATATTTAACTGGCATATTGCACAAGATTTAATGTATCTTTTAATTATAGTAAACATTTGTTTAAAATAATAATCATTTCTGATGTTATTATATGTGATATCTACTGCATGATGTCCGCTATATTTAGAATCATGATATTCATTCAAGATAGTATCAATGGTATCTTTTTCTGTAATGATTAACTTTTTGTTTCCATCTTCTACAAGATAACATATTCCATTGATTTCTTGGATACACATGTTTGGGTTGTTTTTCATTTCTTTGAGCCATTCTGAAGAATCTTGTTCTTCTTTAATTTTATTTAAGAATGGTTCATCCCATTGGAAATTATCGTATTTCCTTGAGAGAAAGTCGGCAATACCATTTTGTTTACCGCTTATATGTTTTAATTCATATTCAAACTCTTTAATGTATTTCATGTAGCCATCCTGTCTTTTTGTGAATGGTTTATCATTAGACTTGTTAATGATATATGTTAAGTTCTGATGATCTGAGTATATGGTTACTTTTTTACCAAGTAATAGGTATTGGAATTTCTTTAATGAATCTATGATTGCTAAGAATTCTCTATCTCCTATACTGTATCTCTTTTGTGTATCAGAAAACTTTCTACTATGAAACCAAATTGGCTTGAAAGAATTACCTTGTATTTGATATAAAACTCCTGAAAGTGCTCTATCGCTTGCATCACAATATAAGTGGTAGCTTCCATTATTCAAATTGTTCATATCAGATACAATTAGTAATGTTGAAGATTCTTTGAGTTTTTCAATATCTACAGGTTTGTTATCTTGCTCAATAGGTAGTGCTATGATGTTATCACCATTGAATTCGTTTTTTAAATTTATGAATTCTTTAATTGCATCTTCAGATAATTTTGTATTACCTTTACCTTTGGCTTCTGCTGATAAATGTATCGTCTTTTCAGCATATTTTTCAATAACTCTTCTAAAGAAACCAAATAAACCCAACGCGGCTTCAGCTTCTTTAGAATTTCTTGGATTTGGTAACTCAGAGATTGTTCTGACTTTTGCAGCTCTTGGAGATATACCATCTTTACCTATTTGGAATCCTAAGAAATCTATTTGAGTTTTGAATATTTCACTCTTTTCTTTAGAGATGTAAATTAAATATTTTCGGCAATATAATAGTACTCTTATTACTTCAATTATATGCTTTTTATAATTTGGTTTTGTATGAACCATTAAATCATCAAAATATTGTAGTAGACTTTTGATTTTACCAAAAATCTCAATCATCATTCTTGCAAATGTAGACGGAGAGTTTACAAGTCCTTGAGGCATCCTTTTATAATGAAACTTACCAATGTGAGTAGTGAATGCAGTGTAATGTTTGTGTTCTGGGTTCATTGCTATTTGATAGAATCCCATCAACATATCAAACTTTGAAAAGATTTTTGAATCCTTACACTGTCCTAACAAACTATCAGCAGGTGCAAATGGATGATCATCTCTAACTGTAACTTTATTCAATTGACGATAGTCGTGCACAACCCGCCATGAATCTCTCTTTTTAAGAAGCATAATTGGTGAAGAATAGTTTGATTTGGATTTTTCGATTATACCGAGTTCCATAAATTTAACTACCATTTCTTCAACAGCTTTCTTTTGATCATCAGAGGAATAGTAAATCAACTTTTTAGTTGGTTCTATATTATGACCTGGTTTAATTTCAATACTATGTATTGTATTACTTCTACGTGAAGCATTTAACATCTCAGTCATCTCTGGTAATTTTTCTACAACTACGTCGTTGAATGTTTCAAATATGTAATCACGAATAACTTGAATTTCATCTTCAGTTGGTTCTTGTTTTGAAATGATGTCACAGATTGTTGATGGTAAATTTTCAACAATTTCAGTGATTTGTTCGATTATATCGTCGTCATCATTAAACTTTGGATTCTCAACCTTTTTACAATTTGCAACATTTATATAACAGTTGAATTGTGATGATTTTTCATAATTTATTCTATGATTCCTACAATCAATTTTAATTATTTTTTTCTCTTGATCAATTATTGAATTTTCAAAGAGAATATCATTTCCTATTAATATATCGATTATATCGAGATCTGTGATAATGAAATTATAATTTCTATCATCAATTCTTATATTTATAGTTTGTGATATTGTTTCTTCTACATTTAGTAAAGGAAATTTAATTTTAGTTTTTAAATTTTGTATATTATCTTTCATGTTGCTAGTTAAATGTTTTCTATTAATTAAACTAACACTGCTTCCAGTATCTATGATTACTTTAGAAGGTGATTTACAAAATTTAGGATTAATAATTAACCTTGGTTTATTCATATTATCTTTATCTTCAATCATCACTCCATTTAAAGTTGGTAGTAATATATACTTTGAAGAATTGATATTTGTATTTTTAATCATTTTGATTACAGGTTTTGATGTATTTAACCAAACCTCAAATATTTGTTCATCCTCATCATTTTCAGTTTTTATATCATTAAAATCAAATTTATTATCATTTAATTGATTGAAAATATTTTTCAAAGGATTAATATCCAAGTTATTTGTTCTTGGTAATATTATTTTAATTGGATTAATAAATGAAATATTTTCATTTAAATCTATAGAAGGATTTACTTTATTTTCAATCTCATCAATTTTTAAATTATATTTATTTTTTAAATATTTTTTAATTTTATTAATGTTTTTATTAACTTCAGAATTATCTTTATCTCTTAAGTTAAATCTTTCACTTTGTGAAACATAAAAATCATTTAAAGTATTCAAAGATATATTATCATTAGAATAATCGTAATCTTCAATATATGAAGTATAAGGGTAATGTGAAAAATTAATTTTATTTTTATTTAAATTATTTAATAAGATTTTATCAGCGGATAAATCTGGGTTTGATAGTCAGCCTTTAAACTTTTTTGAACTCTCCGAGGAAATAGAAACTTTATTATTGTTTACCCCATTGCTACACTTGTTAGTATAGTGTTTTTGACCACACATAAGGCAAACTTTGTTTTTATTTCTAAAGACCAAAATTCCGTCTAGAACTTCGTTAAGCACAATAGAGCCACCGTTCTTTTTGGAATAGTCCTCACGAATTCTATTAGCTTCAGCTTGCTTATCAGCCTTTTTGAATTCACCTTTATGGTTCGAAGATGGCTTACCACCTTTGTTAGATGAACCACGACCATGTTGATCAGATGATTTCCTTTTAAAACGATTTTCGTTGTTTTGGAAAATTTCTAAGGTCTTGTTTTTAAGTTCAGCAATCGTATTGCTCTGATCGTTTGCCCTGATGAATTCGTTAGTGAAAGCGTCTGGGACGATTGAACTAAGGATAACCTTGCCAATGAGTTTGTTATTCTCTTTGAAAAAGTTAACCTTTTCTTCGGGAGTCCTACCAAATGCGATTGTTGGACATACACGATCGATGAATGACATAGCCGCAGTGACGTTGTTGACACATTCTTGTAAACTGTCACAGTTCTTGTTTTTGACAGCGGCACAGTATTCCTCCACTTTGGATAAAGCGCTTGAGCTGACCGGTATAACAGTTGCTGGTGGTTTGAATTTTTCATCAAGAATTTGAATCAAATCCTCACCCTCGATTTGGTAGTTTAGCTGCTCTGACTGGTTATAGGTATGTAACAGATTGTTATATGTGTCTGGGTTGACACAATGGTTACGCATGATGGAGAAAAGGCTCTTAGGGATATTCGACTCATCACAAATATTATTAAATAATGATTTGAAATGGGTCAGAGAAGTAGCGTTCTTAAGAGCTTCAACATTCTTTGCGGACATATTAACTTTAGAGTCGCTCGAGATATTCTGCATGGCAGAAGTTTCGGATAACTTAGCTATCTGCTCTTCCAGTAGTCTGTTTTTCTCGAGGGCGTCAAGTAATTTCTTTTGACTATCTCGGAGCTCTATTAGTTCTGCATTTTCAGCGGATACCGAATCGTTAACATTGTTTTCTGTGTTACCATTTGAACTAAAAACCTCCTCAATTAAAGCAGCGGTTAATAAACCCGTGGTTTTCTTGCCTCTTGATTTTGTATTGTTCTTAGGAGAGCTAATAGTATCTTTTGATACGACTTCTTTATTAGGAGTATTAATTTTTTTTGACATTTTAAACTTATAATTAAATTTAATAATTAGTTATGTTTTTTAAAAAAAAAATTTTATAATGTTTATAACATTTATGTGTATACAATATGAATATGTGTATGTATGTGTACAATTTATGTATATTTAAATACATGTATGTAAGTATATAGTTTATAAATATGCGTATATACATTGTATGTAAATGTAAACGATTTATAACTATGTGTATATAGTTTATAAATATGTATATATACATTATATGTATATGTATACAATTTATAACTAAGAATACAGTTTATAAATATGTATCTATACATTATATGTATAATTATATAATTTATAACTTAGTGTATATTTATATATAGTATGTGTATATCTTGTATACAGTTTGTAAATATGTATCTATACATTATATGTATAATTATACAATTTATAATTAAGTGAACAGTTTATAAATATGTATCTATACATTATATGTATAATTATACAATTTATTACTAAGTGTACAGTTTGTAAATATGTATCTATACATTATATGTATAATTATACGATTTAAAACTTAGTGTACTGTTTATAAATATGTATCTATACATTGTGTATAATTATACAATTTATAACTTAGTGTATATACAATGTATGTATATGTGTATATTATATTTATATATAATATATGTATATCTTGTATACAGTTTATAAATATGTATCTATACATTATATGTATAATTATACAATTTATTACTAAGTGTACAGTTTGTAAATATGTATCTATACATTATATGTATAATTATACAGTTTAAAACTTAGTGTACAGTTTATAAATATGTATCTATACATTATGTATAATTATACAATTTATAACTTAGTGTATATACATTATATGTATATGTATATTATATATTTATATAATATGTGAATGTCCATTGTCCGTATATAAATATGTATATTTACATTATATGTATATGTATACAATATATAAATATGTTGTTGTGATTATAACAAAAGTGTTTTTTACAATTATATTTATCATATGATTTATTATTTTATATATATCTAATCTTTTTTTATAATAACCTGAATATCCGATTTTTTCTATAATAACCTGTATATCCAATCTTTTTATATATTTTTCTTGCATTCGAATTTTTTAATTATTTATTTTGATATTATTACAAATTATATAAATGTGTGTATGGTTGAAATAAAAAAAAAAAAGTGTAAAAGAGTGGGTGATCTTCTATCTGGAAAACATATAAACAACCAAAACAAACAAACAAATAATAAATAATAAAATACCTTATAATGAGACTTTTTGGGTTAAAACTATCTTTATTGATAATATTGATAATATTAATAATATTGATATAATGATCTTTATTTATGAATTTTTTATGCCTTTTTTTTGGCGAATTATTTTTGAAAAAATATTAAAAAAATTAAAAAAAATTAAAATAAAAATTTCGGTTAAAAGAAATTTTTATGAAACACGTTGCAAGAAGCCATCGTATTACTTTTTATGGGAAAAGCTTTATAGGCTATAAAAACCCAATTATATATATATATTATATATTAATTATTATATAATTAATATGTGAGTGTCTAACATCGATTATACGAAGTTAAAAGAAGAAAAAGATATAGTTTTGGATTAGACATAAAAACTGGAATTAGGACCAACGGGAAAATCATATGTTTATGGATGAAGTTAGGTTTCAATAATTTGATAAATACAATTATATAAGATCTTGGGTCTATGAATCTTATTTTTTACTAGATTCAAATACTTAAACAAGTGTTAGAAAAGGTGGAGATAAAGTAATGTTTTGGGGAAAATTTTGAATTATGTTCCCAAAAATTAAGATCATCTTTCATAGGCATTATATTCTAATCTCTATATTGATATAATAATAAATGATACACCACCAAATCTGGGTTACTATGCAGATACGTTACAGGTGCCTGGGAAAGTTCACGAAAATTGTCATGAGAATTTCTAATCTTATTCACCAAATATGATTAGGGAGTAAAACTGAAAATTCAAAATTTCAATTGATGAAATACAACCTTTAAGCCCCGATTTATATAATAGATAATCAATGGCCATAAGATACTTAAATGTTCTCAATCCGAATGTTCAGTAAATCAAATCATAACCCGATCCAATGTCGCATTGATATTTTTCCTTACATCACTTCTGAGATTAGAAATAATTTTTATAAATCTTTTCCAAACAGAAAGGAGGCGATAATTAAAGCTCATGGGGAACATTCAAAATATTAGGTAAATTCATTTGTTAAAATCAAAAAATAAAAAAAATTAAAAATAAAAAAAAAAAATTTTTTAAAATTAAAAAAAAGAGATAAATATTGTAAACATATAATTTATTTTTTTTAATTTTAATTTAAAGGTTTTTAAATGAATCTATGTAAAATGAAGTTAATTTATTAGCCTTACATTATATTTAAATATTATAATCTAAATATCTTTTTTCAATATATAAACTTAAAATCGGTGGGGGGTCTACATATTTTCCTCGGGCACTGTATATTCAAAAAAAAAAAACTATAAAAATAAATCATGAAAAACATTATAATACCAATCATTGTTGTTTTTATTTTTTCGTTTTTTATATTATTTTCTTTTTTATTAATAAAAACCTCAACCAATACAAAACCAAAACAAAAGGTCGAATTATTGTTTTTTTTTTTTTTTTTCCAAAAAAACAATAATCAATATTAAATTATAATATACGTATTCATAATTATATTTATTTTAGTTAAACTAAAACCTCAACAAATCCAAATCAAAAAAAAAAGTTCTACACATTTTCTAAATTAGCTCTATAAATAGACCCAAAAAATAACTAGAATGCATCAACACAAGGTTTTACAATGCTTTTTAATCTTTCGTTTTTCTTTCTTTTTTTTTTTTTAAAAGCAAAGTTTTTTTTTTTTTTTTTTCATTCTAGTTAATTAATATAAAATAATTTCTTAAACCTTCTAAGGTTACCCATAAAAGATTCTACCATTGAAAGTAAAGTTTTTGTAAAAAAAAAAAAAAAATTGTTAAAATAAAATATAAAATATTTTATAATTTTATGAATTATTATCCTTTTTTTATCTTTTTTTTTTTTTTTTTTATCCTTTTTTTTTAAATCTTCCAAGTGATACAAAAAAGGATAACGATAAAGATAATTTTCAACCTCTAAAAAAAACACATATTTATAATTTTTAAAAATATTAATATATTACTTTATAATTATTTTTTTTATTAAAACTAATAATTAAATAAAAATCTAATATTATTTCTTAAATTTAGTTGTAAAAATCATACAAATAATCAATTTAATTAATTTTTTTTTTTTTTTTTAAAAATCATTTTTTTACAATGAAAAAGTTAGTTTAATGTTTTGGGTATCATTTAAAAGAGAATTAAATAAAAAATCGAAATCAAATAAAAAAAATGATCAATCTATAATATAAAAAAAAGATATAAACTGAATTATTGCTTTACAATTATTTTTTTAATTATTTTCTTTATTTTATAAAAAAAATTAAACAATTCTATCTTTTTAATAAATAAATTTTTATTATTTTAATTTTTTTTTTTTTTTTTTGAATTAAAGAAAACATTTTTTTTTTTTTTCTTTATTATTTTATTCACACAAATAATAGCTTTATTTTTACAATTTTTCAACACAATAATATTTTTTTTTTTTTATAATTTTAATTAAATAATATTCACACATTTTTCAATATTTTATTTTTTCAACTTTTACTTTCTTTATTATTTTATATATTTATATATTTTATATATATTTATATAAAATCAACCTAAATATGATAGTAAATAAAATTTTATTTCTATCATTTTTAGTTATATTTTTTTTATCAAGATTTACCCAAGGTACTAAAATAAACTATAAATTATTAACTAAAAATAGAACTTTTTTAAAAAGTAAATATTGGATAATAAATATTAACCTTAATTTTTTTTATAGATATTCCAAACTCAACTTATATTTGGTCATCAAGTAATCCAAAAGTTGGAAATACATCCATTGTTGATGTCAATTCTAAAGGTGTTATTGGTAAAAATAATTTTGCTAGATCTGTTGTCAATGTTCAAGAACCAGACCAAATTGTTTTTTCATCATCTCAAGTGGAGGTCGAAGTTGGTAAAAAATTAGTACTCTCAACTAAATTATTATCAAAGCATTTACCAAAAGGAGTTTATTTCGAATCTTGCTCAATTAATAATTTAGAATGGAAAGTTAAAGATGATTCCATTTTCAAAATATTACCACATGAAAAGGTCGACCAACAAAAGATATCAAGTGACATATGTTCATCTCGTGAATTTTTGGCTCTAAAAGAAGGCTCAACTGTTATTTCAGTTCAATACAATGGAATGAGAGAAGAAATTCGTATTTTTGCTTCTCCACCAGCTGATCAAATAGAATTTTTATTAAGTTTAGGTTCATCGGCCGAGGTTTCTTTCTGTGGTGGTAAAGAGACATGGCTTTTACAATCAAAGATTTATTCCAAAACTATTTCATCAGATAATAAAGAAAAAAACTCTCTCTCAATCACTCCAGGTGATAATAATTCATTCAAAGTCACTTGTCAAAAACAATCAAATGATCCACAAAATGTTATTGTAACTATTAGAAACAAAAAGAGTATTAGCAGCCCATTACCAGAAGCCCGTTCAATTAAAATTCCATTCTTTTGCCGTCAACCATCATATGTTAATATTCAATTTATAAAATTACCAACTGAAGAAGGTAAACAAATTATACAATCATCGAATCCAATACATCAAGATTCTATTTTATCATTGAAAAAACAAAAACCAGGTGAAATCACTATTATTATGAATTCTATTGCTAAATACGTAAAAGGTAGTACCAATTATCCAATTATAGTTGCAGGTTCCATCTTTATTGCCGCCTTTGCTATTGGTCTTTATGTATATAAAAAACATATGTTTATTTATATATCAAATCTAAATTTATCACAAATATCAACCTCTTTATTAGAATCATTCCGATCTCCATTTCCATACTCTTTAGTATCACCAAATAGTTCACTAGTTAGTATTTATCAACAAAATAATTCAAAAAAAAAAAAAAATTTAAAAAACCAAAAGAAAAATAAAATAAAGAACAAAACTCACTCTAACTATATTTGATTATAATAAAAAAAATAAAGAAATATTTTATTTGCAATTAATATTATTAAAATAAAGAAATAAATAAATATTTTTTTTTTTATGAAATATTTTATTTTTCTTTATTATAAAAACTAATCGATTAGTTTAACTATGGTTGGATCTGCTTCCCCAGTGATGATAATCATTTTTATTTTAATTATCGATATTATTATTATAATTATTATTTGTATTATTTTGTGGCAGTTACTTTTTATTTTATTATACTTTATTAATAATGCTATAGCAAATAAGAAATCTTCTAATGCATATATAAAAAGATTAATAAATGAAAAATCTATTTTTATATTAATATATAATTATGATGTTTGAATAAATGATATGAATCTTCACCCAGTTTTTCTAAATCTTCAATATTTGAATACTTGAGACATTTCTTTATAACTTCATAGGTAATCTTTGGGTAGTCTGCTCTGTTTGAATTAAACTTATATAATACCTCTTGAATATTACCGATATTTGATGTTTTTAAAAGTAGCCGAACATAATTTGGTGGTGATTTTAATTCCCCTTCAATTAAATTTCTATATGATGATGGTGGTGGAAGTTTTATATTACCATTATTAAATAAAAAGCTATTACTGTTTTTATTGTTGCAACCGCTACTACCGCTACTAACGCTACTTCCATTGCTATCATTACTATTACAACTGCTTATACTACTACAACTTGCGCTTTGGGCTAAACTGATACTATTATTATTTAGATTGCTATATTCACTAACACTATTTAAATTATAGTTACTATTACTATTTTGTAAACTGAATGTTGTGGGTTCTGGTGCTGCTGTTGTTGTATTGTTTTTTCTTTTACTATAACTATTTTTTAAATTGAATGTTATTGCTACTGTTGTTGTATAATTATTACTATTACTATTGTTTAAACTGAATGATGATGATGATGATTATGAGGCTGCTGTTGTGTTATAACTGGGTTATTATAATTAAATAATAATTTAGAAACATAACACTAAAATTATTATCAATCGATTAGACCATTTTCAGTATTAGGATACTGAAACATTATAAAATTTTAAAAAAAAATATAAATATAAAATTTTAAGTTTTTTATAAATAATTTATTTTATTTTTTTCAATAAATATAAACATTTATTTTTTATAAACAATCTATTTTATTTTTACCTTTTACTTTTTATTACAAAATATTTAATAATTTAATCAAATTTTAACATGAAACAACACATTTTTTTCTATTTTATTTTTATTTAAAAATTAAAAACTTTATTATTAATTTTTTTATTTATTTTTATATTTTTTATTTTATTTATTTTTTTTCTCAATGAAAGTTTTTTTTATTTTTAATATTCAAAAAATAAATAATATTCTCATTATTACTATTCAATTAAATTATATTATTTACATTTTTCATCATGATAAATGATCAATAAATTAATTACTTTTTTTGTTGATTTTAATTACCAACATGATAGATTTACAAAAACTAACCTATTTTTAGTATTATTTAACTTTAGATAAAGAAAACGGTAATGAAAACTTGTACTAGAGCTGTTGAATTATAGAGGCTATTTATTCATTGTAGAATTGTAAATTAAAACCTCTGCAGATTGCAACTTATTCTCATACCTTTAATTAAATGTAAATATGCAAGATAAAGAATAAATCAAGCTAACCACAACAGTTTTATAATGTAGATGGTGTCTTAATAGCTAAAGGTGAATATTACCAGAAATCTTTTCAATACTTGGTTCTGAACCATCATCAAAACAGGATTGAACAATCAAATAATTCAAAAAATTAATCAAATTCAATCACTTAAATATTCTAAATAAATAATAAATAAAAATAAATGTTCTCCTTAAATTTTTTTTTTTTTAAATAAAAAAAATCAAGAAAAAAAAAGGCCACCCTTTCAATGACACTTTTTTTTCTAAGTTCGAACCCATTAGTTTTTTAATTTTAATTTTTATTTTTAATTTTTATTTTTTTTAAATTTTTAATACCCCTACTGACACATAATTTAGTTTTTTTTATTATTTTAATTTTTAATTTATTTTTTTTCATTATTATTGATATTTTTTTTTTTTAATTATCATTTATAAAATTTTAATAATAATAACTTCAATAATAATAATAAATTTTTTTAAAATAATATAACTACATTATATATTCAAAATGATTCAAAAAATAATGGGTTTTATTTCAAAAATTATAACCTATTTATTTGCTTTAATTTTTTCCATCTTTTCAAAAATCAAGAGAAATCCAATAATTAATCAAGGGTTCCATGAAGATTATGATAATATCCATTATGATACCGACGAAAACTATGTCCATTATGACACTGATGAAGGCTACACAGAGCCATTCCGTTTGGTATATATCATTACAGTTAGAATAACTATCTATTAAATCATCATAGAAATAAATAGATAAAAAGAAATTAAATTTCCATCACACACTCGGGGTTGTCTAAATAGAGTCTTGGTTGTTTTTCAATTTTAGCTTTTATATTTCCGATTCCATGGTGGTTGATGCGCATTTAATTCAAGAATTACTAAAAGGAACTTCATATGTACATAAAAGAAAGGGAAAAAAATAAAAAAAGTTATTGTTATTTATTTTAATTAAATATTCTAAAAGGGGTTGTAAATTTTCTTTTTTTTTTTAGTTTTATTATTTTTTTCATTTTAAATTGTTATTACAAAAAAAATAAAATTTTAAAAATTAAAAAAAAAAAAATTAATAAAAAATTTCATAGTTCAATTTAATTATTTTAACAGAGTTCATTTTATTACTTTATATTTGTTTTAAAATAATATATATATTTTATAAAATAAATTATATAAATATATTTAAATAAGAATATACATTAAAATATATTTAAATTTAAAATATAAAAAACTTATATTAACACTTATATTTATTTTTTTTATTTTTATATTGAATATATTTCATTGATGAATCCAATTAACGGTGCCTCATCTAAATCAATGTTAAACTCTTCTGAAAGTATATCATTCTCTGAAAATGAATTGCTTGGTTTGGGAAATAGCTTAGGTGGCGGTTCATGTGGTTTCAATCCATGTATTAAAACCTTATTATAATATCAATATCAATAATAACAATAACAATAATAACACAACAGCAGCTTCATCATCATCATCATCATTCAGTTAAAACAATAGTAATAGTAATAATTATAGAGCAACAGTATCATTAACATGGAAGAAGGGATGTATAAAGTTTAATAGTTAAATAGGCCCTGAATTTTTCGATCCACTATCAGCCAATCCATAAGACATTTAATTGTTTTAGGATAAAAATTTATTTCGGCTCTTTATCTATGGCCATTTTAAAATTTTAAAATTTTATTTTTAAAAATAAAATAACCAAAATTTTTATAAAAATTTTTTTTTTTTTTTTTTATTTTTTTTAATTTTTTTTTTTTTTCCATCACAACAAACAAACAAATAATTTTAATAATGTAAACTATAGCACATCCAATAAATAATAATTTTAACCTTTCAGAAATATGTTTTAAACCTTTAGAGAACAAGTAAGTAAATTAATACATTATTTTAAAACAACAACAGCAACAACAAACCCATATACATATAGAAAATGGCATCGTTGAAGAAATATAGAAAATTGAAACAGAGTTACTAACATAAATTAAATTATCTTTTATTAGTTTTCAAAAGACAGATTTATTTAGCATATGTTTACCAATTAAAACCATTCAATACCCTTACAGGATCAGCTGTGTCGTCGATATATAAAGATTTAGCATATGTTTACCAAATGCACAGCGAACCTATTAAAAGAGATTTATACTATTTACAAATAATAATAAATATCAATCCAATCACGAACTATTGCTCAATAATAATCTCAAAACTAACAGCAATTAATATCAATAACTATCATAAAAAGTCACAAAGTCGCAGAAACTCAAATTCTTTCAAAGTCTTTCAATCTTTGGTAAATCAGCTAAGGCAAAATTCAAATCAATTGCAAGTTCATGTAAAAATTCAAAAGCGTTAATGAATGTACCTTTCAGCTCTTATAGACACTAGTGCACAGTTATCATGTATGAAAAAAACATTGGCAAAATAAAAGATTAAACTTAGATCCAACAAAATACTAAACACTAATGAAGATATTCAATCTAATCAACTATTTATATGAATCTCAATACATTTGCTTTGGCCCAAGCAACAATGATAGAACACAAATAGTTTGGATCAGGAAAAGGGTAAACTTCAACTTTCATAAATATTGTTCAAACTGTGAAACGGTCCAATGGTTTTAGCTTATCAAATATATTTAAAATATGACCCCCAAAGAATTTAGTATCTGATAGAGGTTTAAGTTTCATAAATGAAGTCGTCGTTTCAATAAACAAATTCTTTAAAGTTACTCCAACTTTAGCTTGCCATACTTAAACATATGGTTTTACAGAAAAGTTTAATTCAACTTAATTCACAAGTACTTAGATCTTATTGTAAAAGAAACAATACATAAATGATCCACAACAAATTGGTACTACTTTGTTCTCAATAGTATTATGCTTCGTCCTTCTACTTGCATATCTCACCATTTTTTCAACTTTATAAATGCAAACTTATAATCAAAATTGCCAAATATTAGAACTGCTCAAGTATATAGATGTTATTTATTCATTGTAGAAATGAATATTAAAACCTTTGCAGATTGCAACTTATTCTCATATATTTAATTAAATAAAAATATACAGGATAAACAATAAATCAAGCTAACAACAACAATTTAATAATGTAGATGGTGTCTTAATAGCTAAAAGTGAATATTAGAATATGGCCTACCCGAAATCTTCAGTATTAGGTTCTGAAGCATCATCAAAACAGGATTTTAGCAATCAATCAAATAATTCAAAAAAACAATCAAGTATATATTTAAATATCGAATTAAATAAATTTAATAATAGAGCACAATATTTAAATACTCCAATTTTAGTCATCTATATAAAAAAAATAATAGTAAATCAATAATCAGTCTTCAGTTATTAGAAGCCTTAAAGAAAGCTAATATTAAAACATTTATAATAATTAATAGTTAAAAATCAATATAGTGCCAAACCAAAGCAGTCCTCATTAAGAAATAACAGTCACACCCAAACATCATCAAATTCGACATTTTAGCATATAATTAATAAAACGCCTCACATCACTACTGCAGGGTGCTGCTGCAGGTGGTGCTACTGTGGGTGGCACAGGTGGAAAAGGTGGTACAGGTGGCACATCAACAAGTGGATCAACCAGCATATCAACAGGTATAATAGCAGGTAACTCTTCAAGAGGTTCATCAGATAGCAGATCATCATCAGCTAGTGGTTCATCAGATAGCAGTTCATCAGATAGTTAATACCACAACAACAACAACTACAACCAGAAACAATACCAGTTATACCAAGGCATTCAAGATAAATTCAATAAACAATTTTTCAACACTGGTCATGATACTTCAGTTGGTATATCAGAAGTTTCACTGAGTTCTCGTACTGATATAGGTGATCCATCAGCATTGGTTTCTAAGCAAACTGATGAATGCGAAGAGAAAGCAGAACAAATAAATCCATTAAAAGCGGTAGCATCAAACTCATCAAAAATCTAATGTTGGTAGTTCAAATGCAGGTGCCAATAGTATTAGCTTAATAGTTCACCAATCATCTCATTGAATACTTCAGAAGAAATCAATGGTGACAAAATCAAAGAGACTGAACATGAATTTGAAAGTTATAGAATTGCAAAAGAGAATTTAGAATAGCAATGGGAAAAGATTTAAAAACCAAACAATTAATAGAAAGTCAAAGAAATAGCAGTATTTTTGTTGTAGATCCAAGAAATCTCGATGACGATCTTCCAATTAAAATGATGATACAGGCTGAACAACTTTGAAAATTAGAGATTTCTGACTCAAAAGGTTCATTTAGAAACAGTTAGAAATGAAAATACTCAATTATTAAAATTTAAAATTGAAAATATTGAAGAGGAGATAAGACAAAGAATGAAAGAAAAGTTAAATATTTTAAGATAAATAGATAAATAAATAGATAATATAGCAACTACTCAAGAGAAGCAATCTAAATTAGCAATCAATCATTTAAACCGTGTTACAAGAGTTTTTAGACGTGGCAGTGCTAATTTAACATCAAATAATTTAAATCCTCACCAAATTTTTTAGTTAGTGCCAATAATAACAATGCCATTGGTGGAAGAATTAAACCAAACCAAAAATTAAATTCATTATATTAAAAAAAAATACACCATCATCATCAAATAATTTAATACCACCATCACCATTTAATAAAAATAACAACACCTCACCATTGGTACATCCACAACATTTACCTCCATTACCAGTTTGGAGATATAAGTATATATCTACAGTTCTTCCAATTTTACTTGCCAAACCATCTTCTAGAGTACAGAACTAATAAATTCAGTGAACTAAAATAAAAAAAATAAAATTATATAAATAATAATATAAATTAAAATTAGATATAAAATTAAATTAGATTTTAAAAATAAATAAAAGGAAAAAATAAATGGTTTGATCATCATCACCAATTTCGATAAAAAAGATGATGGAATCAATTTAAAAATACAAAGAAAAGAAAATAAAATAAAATTAAATATAATTTTTTTTTAAGCGTTATTTTTTATTTATTTTTTTTTTCACAGATAAAATATAAATATAATTACTCGAATCAGTTTAAGGTAATATATATAAATATAATTTATTTTAGAGTAAATTTAACAGCATCTTCTACGACGATTACCAATATCAATATTAATATTGATAATGTTACTGTTACCATCACTGCATGAATTAAAACATGGATTGAAACCACATGAACTGCCACTTAAGCTATTACCGAACCAAACTGATTCATTATCAGAGAATGAGACACTTCCATATGAACTTAACATTGATTTAGATGAGGCACCGTTAACTGGGTTCATTGATGAAAGAGATTCTATGAAAAATTAAAAAAATAAAATTAAAATAAATAAAAAAAAAATAAATGTTAATATTTTAAATTTTAATAATAGTATTAATATTTACTAATAATTGACATTTTATAATATAGTATTATTATAGTTTTAGAATGAAAATTAAATTTTTTTTTTTTTTTTTATTTATTGGTAAATTTGTGAAAGATAATTCCCCAAGAAATAACTTACAACAACAACTTTATTTAAACAAATTTAGTTAAAAAAAATATAAAAAAAATATAATAAAAAGATTAAAATTTATTTTTAATGAGCACCAAAGCTTTATTTGTATGAAAAACGTGGATTTAAAATCTTCTTTATTTTTTATTTACAATTCTAATTAATTTAAAAAACACATATTTTTATTTTTTTTTTATAAAACTAATCATTAAATTAATAATATAAAATTATTTCTTTAAATTTAGTTTCAAAAAACATACAAATAATCAATTTAATTAATTTTTTTTTTTATTTTTTTAAAATCATTTTTTTACAATGAAAAAGTTAGTTTAATGTTTTGGGTATCATTTAAAAGAGAATTAAATAAAAAATCGAAATCAAATAAAAAAAATGATCAATCTATAATATAAAAAAAAGATATAAACTGAATTATTGCTTTACAATTATTTTTTTAATTATTTTCTTTATTTTATAAAAAAAATTAAACAATTCTTTCTTTTTAATAAATAAATTTTTATTATTTTAATTTTTTTTTTTTTTTTTTGAATTAAAGAAAACATTTTTTTTTTTTTTCTTTATTATTTTATTCACACAAATAATAGCTTTATTTTTACAATTTTTCAACACAATAATATTTTTTTTTTTTTATAATTTTAATTAAATAATATTCACACATTTTTCAATATTTTATTTTTTCAACTTTTACTTTCTTTATTATTTTATATATTTATATATTTTATATATATTTATATAAAATCAACCTAAATATGATAGTAAATAAAATTTTATTTCTATCATTTTTAGTTATATTATTTTTTTTATCAAGATTTACCCCAGTAACACCCCAATTAAATCTAAGTTCTTCACTTTGCATTCCAGGTACTAAAATAAACTATAAATTATTAACTAAAAATAGAACTTTTTTAAAAAGTAAATATTGGATAATAAATATTAACCTTAATTTTTTTTATAGATATTCCAAACTCAACTCCAACTTATATTTGGAATCCAAAAGTTGGAAATATATCCATTGTTGATGTCAATTCTAAAGGTGTTATTGCTAATAATAATTGTGCTGGATCTGTTGTCATTGTTCAAGAACCAGACCAAATTGTTTTTTCATCATCTCAAGTAGAGGTCGAAGTTGGTAAAAAATTAGTACTCTCAACTAAATTATTATCAAAGCATTTACCAAAAGGAGTTTATTTCGAATCTTGCTCAATTAATAATTTAGAATGGAAAGTTAAAGATGATTCCATTTTCAAAATTTTACCACATGAAAAGGTCGACCAACAAAAGATATCAAGTGACATATGTTCATCTCGTGAATTTTTGGCTCTAAAAGAAGGCTCAACTGTTATTTCAGTTCAATACAATGGAATGAGAGAAGAAATTCGTATTTTTGCTTCTCCACCAGCTGATCAAATGGAAGTTTTATTAAGTTTAGATTCATCTGCCGAGGTTTCTTTCTGTGGTGGTAAAGAGACATGGCATTTAGAACCAAAGATTTATTCCAAAACTATCTCATCAGATAATAAAGAACAAAACTCACTCTCAATCACTCCAGGTGATAATAATTCATTCAAAGTCACTTGTCAAAAACAATCAAATGATCCACAAAATGTTATTGTGACTATTAGAAACAAAAAGAGTATTAGCAGCCCATTACCAGAAGCCCATTCAATTAAAATTCCATTCTTTTGCCGTCAACCATCATATGTTAATATTCAATTTATAAAATTACCAAATGAAGAAGAAGGTAAACAAATTATTCAATCATCGAATCCAATACATCAAGATTCTATTTTATCATTGAAAAAACAAAAATCAGGTGAAATCAGTCGTTTAAATATTCATAATACTAGTGATTTACCATTTATTGCTATGAATTCTATTGCTAAATATGTAAAAGGTAGTACCAATTATCCAATTATAGTTGCAGGTTCCATCTTTATTGCCGCCTTTGTTATTGGTCTTTATGTATATAAAATCAACCTAAATATGATAGTAAATAAAATTTTATTTCTATCATTTTTAGTTATATTTTTATTTTTTTTATCAAGATTTACCCCAGAAACACGCCAATTGAATCCAAGTTCTTCACTTTGCATTTCAGGTACTATAAATTATTAACTTAAAATAGAACTTTTTTAAAAAGTAAATATTGGATAATAAATATTAACCTTAATTTTTTTTATAGATATTCCAAACTCAACTTATATTTGGTCATCAAGTAATCCAAAAGTTGGAAATACATCCATTGTTGATGTCAATTCTAAAGGTGTTATTGCTAATAATAATTTTGCTAGATCTGTTGTCAATGTTCAAGAACCAGACCAAATTGTTTTTTCGTCATCTCAAGTAGAGGTCGAAGTTGGTAAAAAATTAGTACTCTCAACTAAATTATTATCAAAGCATTTACCAAAAGGAGTTCATTTCGAATCTTGCTCAATTAATAATTTAGAATGGAAAGTTAAAGATGATTCCATTTTCAAAATTTTACCACATGAAAAGGTTGACCAACAAAAGATATCAAGTGACATATGTTCATCTCGTGAATTTTTGGCTCTAAAAGAAGGCTCAACTGTTATTTCAGTTCAATACAATGGAATGAGAGAAGAAATTCGTATTTTTGCTTCTCCACCAGCTGATCAAATAGAATTTTTATTAAGTTTAGGTTCATCGGCCGAGGTTTCTTTCTGTGGTGGTAAAGAGACATGGCTTTTACAACCAAAGATTTATTCCAAAACTATTTCATCAGATAATAAAGAACAAAACTCACTCTCAATCACTCCAGGTGATAATAATTCATTCAAAGTCACTTGTCAAAAACAATCAAATGATCCACAAAATGTTATTGTGACTATTAGAAACAAAAAGAGTATTAGCAGCCCATTACCAGAAGCCCATTCAATTAAAATTCCATTCTTTTGCCGTCAACCATCATATGTTAATATTCAATTTATAAAATTACCAACTGAAGAAGAAGGTAAACAAATTATACAATCATCGAATCCAATACATTATAATAATAGTGATTTACCATTTACTGCAATGAATTCTATTGCTAAATATGTAAAAGGTAGTACCAATTATCCAATTATAGTTGCAGGTTCCATCTTTATTGCCGCCTTTGCTATTGGTCTTTATGTATATAAAATAAAGTTTTTTATATATCAAATTCTTTATTAGAATCATTCCGATCTCCATTTCCATACTCTTCTTTAGTATCACCAAATAATTCACAATTTAGTATTTATTTATAAAAAATTAAAAAAAAAAAAAAAAAAAGAATTTAAATATAAATAAACAATATTTTATTTGATTATAATAAAGAAAAATAAAATATTTAATTAAAAAAAAAAAATTTATTTATCTTTGCATATTTGTATATTTTTTAATGTTATTAAAATAGAACTATTTTATTTATTTAATTTTTTGATCGTAGTACTTTGTTGTTTAATTAATATTTTATTTAAGACTGCTGGTGATATTATTAGGTTCAATTTTCGTTGTAGTCTCTAATTGGATATAAATTTTACTTTTTAATATTATTACTTTTAATATGTTTTCCTGCAACAGAGTGACTAATTACTATTACTTTAGTGTTTATTAAGCTTTTAATAGTGATTGAAATATTATGATTATCTTCAGTTTTTATCAATTATCGTTATCACAGTAGGGGAATAATACCTGATTTAATTACTCTCTTATTTTATTTTCATATATGCTGTCTTTTCAAAGTATACCCCCAATTTTTAGCAAATATCAACACGTTATCATTGCCATTTTAAATTTTTAAAATTATATTTATTTTAAAAAATCGATATTTTTTAAAAAAAAAAAAAATTTTATTTTATTTTTAATTTTTTTTTTTATTTTATTTTTTTCGATCACAACAAACAAACAAACACATAAATAATTTTAATAATGTAAACTATAGCACATCTAATAAATAATAATAATTATAACATTACTGAAATATGTTTTAAACCTTTTGAGAACAAGTAAGTAAATCAATACATTATTTTAAAACAACAACAACAACAACAAACCCTTATATATATAGAAAATGGCATCGTTGTAGGAATAGAAACAGAATTACTAATATAAATTAAAATAACTTTTCAAAAGACAGATTTAACAATTAAAACATGCCATTCAATACTCCAACAGGATCTGCTGTCGTCGATATTATGAATGAAAGGATTTTAATCAATTATATAAAGATTTGGTCTAATAAATCCAACCACGAAATATTGCTTCTATATTATAATAATCCCAAAACTAATATCAAATACTATCATAAAAAGTCACAAAGTCGCAGTAACTCAAATTCTTTCAAAGTCTTTCAATCTCGAGTAAATCAGATAAAGCAAAATTCAAATCAATTACAAGTTCATGTAAAAATTCAAAAGCGTTAATGAATGTACCGTTCAGCTTTTATAGACGCTAGTGCACAGTTATCATGTATGAAAAAAACATTGGCAAAAAAAAGATTAAACTTAGATCCAACTAAATACTAATGAAGATAATCAATCTTATCAACTATTTATATGAATCTCAATACATTTGCCTTGGCCCAAGCAACAGTTATAGAACACAAATAGTTTAGATAAGGAAAAGGGTAAACTTCAACTTTCGTTAATATTGTTTAAATTGTGAAACAGTCCAATAGTTTTAGCTTATCAAATATATTTAAAATATGACCCCAAAAGAATTTAGTATCTGATAGAGGTTCAAGGTTCATAAATGAAGTCGTCGTTTCAATAAACAAATTCTTTAAATGTTTTAGCGAAAAGGGTAAACTTCAACTTTCGCTTTCCATACTTAAACATATGGTTTAACAGAAAAGTTTAATTCAACTTAATTCACAAGTGCCTAGATCTTATTGTAAAGAAGACAATACAAATGACCACAACTAATTGGTATTGCTTTATTCTCATATAGTATATTATGCTTCATCCTTATACAGTGCCCGGATTATATATGTAGACCCCCCCAACTTTTATTAAATAATTTATAAAATAAGATTTACCAATAATAGTTTTTATATGAAGAACCTTACCGCCAATAATTATTAATTTTTAGAAATAAATGGTAAGGAGCGGGCGTGGGTAAAATAAAAAAATAATAAAAAAAAATTTCTATATTTTTTACCACATTTTTATTTTTAAAATTTTTATATTTATTTTATCATTAATTTAATAAGTAAGAGTAAATATAAGTTTAAAAATAGAATATAGTAAATAAACAAAATGTGGTTAAGTGATGAAGTTCGATACTCAATATTATCATATAAAAACAGAGGTCACAAGTCGAACTCAAAAATTGCAAAAAAATTAGAGTGCATAAATCAAAAACATTAGAAAAGGTAGAACAAACAGGCACAATCAATGACCGTAAACGTCATGGGAGAAAATAAAGTTTGACGAACGTGATGAACGTGATTTATGTTTCAATTTTTAAAATAGTAAATTTACTATATAAAATAAAGTATAATTTGGTATGAACAAAATGGATTTGGAACAACATCATACAAGTCAGTAAGAATTATATTAAAGAGATATAACATAATATATAAAAAGAAAGTTAAGAATCCTTCATTGATTAGACATAATAGCAAAAAAAGATTTTTTTTAAAGTTGTGCATATAAATTTTTTTGTGGAATAATGAGAAAATTATATGTTTGTGGATGAAGGAAAGTTCCAATAATTTGATAATAACCATGGTAGGTCTTCTTGGGCTTATGACACTAATGTTTTACTAGAATCACGTATCAAGACAAATGTTAGAAAGGGTGGGGTTAATTAAATATTTTGGGGAAATTTTCTTTATTATGGTCCAATTTATCTATTCATTTATCAAATGGATTTTGAACTAAACAATATCTTGATATTATAAAAAACGATACACAAATAAATTTAGAATAATATGCAGATATAAATAAAGTGCCTAAGAGGTTGCCAATCATTTGTCATGACAACTGTAGTTCGCATTCAGCAAAGATAGTGAAACAATATTTAGAAGAAAATAATATACAAGTTTATCCATTACCACCCTACAGTCTAGATATTAATATAATTGAAAATCTTTGGTCAATTGTTAAAGAAAGGGTATCAAAAAAGATGTTTCATGACCCATCACAAGACCAAGTTCAGGTATGTCAAGATGCATATCATTCAATAGAAAAATCAATTATAAAATCATTATATGAATCACTCCCTGACCGAATAGATGCCATATTAAAAGCACATATAGGGTATACTAAATATTAAATAATAATAATCATTTATATATAATTGTAAAAAAAAACAAATAAAAAACAAATAAAATTTTTGAAATTGAAAAAACGGATTAAATATTTAGACCCTATTTTTTTTTTTTTTTATTTTAATTTTTAGCAAATAAACCAATATCTTGTAATATGATTTATTTTAGAGGTCATTATATAAATATTAAATATGATCTATTAATTCAATAATTATCATTTCCATTTTAAAAAAGTTGGGGGGGTCTAAATATATAATCCGGGCACTGTACTGGTATATCCCACCATTTTTTCAACTTTATAAATGCAAACTTATAATCAGACTTACCAAGTATTAGAACTGTTCAAGTAAATAGAGGCTATTTATTCATTGTGGAAATGAAAAGTAAAACCTATGCAGATTGCAACTTATTCTCATATCTTTAATTAAATCGAAATATGCTAGATAAAGAATAAATCAAGCTAACAACCACAATTTAATAATGTAGATGATGTCTTAATATCTAAAAGTGAATATTAGAATATGACCTACCCGAAATCTTTTCAGTATTAGGTTCTGAAGCATTATCAAAACAGGATTTTAGCAATCAATCAAATAATTCAAAAAATCAATCAAGTATATATTTAAATATTGAATTAAATAAATTTAAATACCAATTTTAGTCATCCATATATAAAAAGAATAATAGTATTAACTCAGTAAATCAATAATCAGTCCTCAGTTATTAGAAGCCTTTAAGAAAGCTAATATTAAAACATTTTATAAAAATTAATAGTTAAAAATCAATATAGTGCCAAACCAAAAGCAGTCCTCATTAAGAAATAACAGTCACACCCAAGCATCACCAAATTCGACTTATTATCATATAATTAATAAAACGCCTCACATTTTTCAGGACCATCACTGATGCGGGTGCTGCTGCAGGTTGTGCTGATACAGGTGGTTCTACTGCGGGTGGTGAAAGTGGCACTAGTGGGACAGGTGGTACAGGTGGTACAGGTGGCACATCAACAAGTGGATCAACAGGTATAATAGCAGGTAACTCTTCAGACGCATCAGAGGACTCTTCAAAAGGTTCATCAGATAGCAGATCATCATCAGCCAGTACATCATCAGCTATCGGTTCATCATCAGCTAACAGTCCATTACCATTAAAAAAAGAAGAGAGAACTTTTAGAACAATTAGAATTAGCCCAAGAAGATATTCAATCCGAAAATCACAATATTAAATCAGAGATTATAATTCTTCAAGATAAATTCAGTAAAGAATCTTTCAACATTGGTCATGATACTCTAGTTGGTATATCAGAAGTTTCACCGAGTTCTCATACTGATAGAGGGGATAGATCCATCAACATTGGTTTTTCAAAGAAATTGATTAAAAGCATGAAATCGAATGTTGGTAGTTCAAATGCAGGTGCTAATGGTTCACCAATCATCCTATTGAATACTTCAGAAGAAATCAATGGTGATAGAATCAAAGAGATTGAACATGAATCTGAAAGTTATAGAATTGCAAAAAAGAATTTAGCAATGGAAAAAGATTTAGAAACAAATCTTCTACCTTTAAAATTTAGTACACTCAAAGAATCACTCTTAAGAGATCTCAAAAATAGATGTAAATAGGTTATTGATTAGAATTTGTTTAAGACCAATATCAAGATAGTAATGCTAAACTTACTGACCGTATAAAGCGTTCCAATGAACCAGGTGGAAATGATCAATAGATAAAGTCAATTCAAACAAAGTTTGACGAAATGACAACATTTAAACACATTAAAAATGAAAATACTAAACTCAAATCAGAAATTGAAAAAATAAAAAAATTACACATCCTAAGAGGTCAACATATTATTGGTTTAAACAAATAAATAAATAGATAATATAGCAACTAATGAAAGAAGAAAGAGAAAAGAAAAAGAAAAAAAAAAGGAAAAAGGAGGGGAAAAAGAAAACATAGAGACAGATAGGGATAGGGACAGAAATAGGGATAGAGACAGAGAAAGGTCAAAGAATTAAAGAAAGTAATTTATACATTATTTATAAATATATTATTAATTTATATTATTAATTTCAATAAAAATATAATTTATTTCTTTCTGTAAATTTTTTAATTTTCTTCAGTTTTTCTTAAAAATTTTTTTTTTTTTATAAATTTATAAATTTATTAAATTTATCCATAAATATAAAAATAAAATGTTAGATAATAATAATAATAATAGTAAAATTGATTCATTATTTTTTTCAGTATGGAGAAACAAGTATATATTAAGCGAAATATGGGAACATATCAGATTATATAATGAAAATGAAATAATAAATATTAAAACAATGGATCAGCTTAGATATCATCCACATAGAAAATATATTACATCAGTTTTTATTTATAATAATGAAGTAATAGAAACACCAAATACAAGTAACATTATAAGTTTTAAACCAATTAAAGCAGGCGATATCCCAGAATCAGTCACAAGTCTAAGATTTAGTTATAATTACACCACGCCAATTGATTTTAAATCAGCTCTACCTTCAGGACTTAAAATATTTGAATACCCTAACTTTGATGAGCCACTCACACCACATTCTTTACCCCCAAATATTAGCAGTTTAACAATAGGAACGAATCATGAAATCTGTGAAGGCACTTTCCCAGATTCATTAACATATTTATCTCTATATAAATTCAATAGGACAATCTCCACACCCAATATATTCAACTCTGTTGTAAAACTACAACTAATATCATATGATCAAATTTTAAAAGCTGGTGATTTACCTAAAACATGCGAAATACTAAATTTAAATAAATATAATCAACCAATAGAACCCAATGTTCTTCCACCAAATTTAAAAACACTATTTACTTGTAAATTTAACCAACCAATGACCCACGGTTCACTTCCAGATTCGGTCACCGACCTTACTATGGATATTTATAATCACTCATTATCAAACTCACTGTCATCTTTAAATTCATTAAAAAAACTATCATTGTATGGTTTTTTTCAGGGTATATCCAGAACAACATTACCAAGTTCAATTACATCATTGAATCTATACCATTTTAATAAACCTTTAATGCCAAACGTACTTCCATCTTCAATAATAACCCTCAGATTAAACAATTATAATCACCCATTAGGACCGGGCGTAATTCCGCCCAATGTAGAGCATTTAGAATTAAGTTCATATAACTGTTTCCTTAGTAAAAAACTATTCCCAAATACTCTATGCTATCTATTAATCTCATGTTTCAATAAACCTTTTTTAAAAGACTCTATACCATCATCAATTAAACATCTTAGGTTCTGTGATAATGGTCCTGAAAAATTTGAAATGGATTCAATTCCACCATCTGTTAAAATTTTAGCACTTCCATGTGTCTATAAGCATCCTCTTCCAGTCGGTTTAATTCCAAACTCTGTAGTAGATTTATCTTTACCGGGTAATTGTTCTCCTCTTCAAGTGGGTGTATTACCAGAATCCCTCACTTCATTAGCCTTTGGTTATGGTTTTAATCAACATCTAGACCCAAATACTATTCCACAATCAGTTACCCAATTAAAACTAAATAGAATTTATTCACAACCAATACCAGACTCTTTAACAAACAGGATAAAAATAACAAGATAAAAATAAAAATAAATTGTACATTAATAATTTTGTTTAATTTTTTTTACATTATCAGGAGTAAATTATAAAATCATCGACTAATAAAAAAGAATTAAAATAAAATTTAAAATAAATATTAGAGATAAATTTAAAATAAAAAAAATAATTAAATTAAAAAAAAAAAAAATTTATTTTATAAAATAAATAAATAATAATAACTTTTTTATTTTTGTTTTTTTTCGATTCGTTTATGTACATAAGAAGTTCCTTTAAGTAATTTAAGAATTAAATGCGCCACCACGAAAGCTGAACTATAAAAGCTAAAATTGAAAAACAATCTAGACTCTATTTAGACAACCCCGAGTGTGTGATGGCAATTTAATTTCTTTTATTCTTATAATTTTATGATCTTCTCTTTTTAATCAAATGGAAGCTATAGTCGTAAAAACAATCGACATGTTTGATTAAACCATGGATTAATTCGTAGCCTCTATCTGTATCACATACTATCTTTTTTGCTTCACTTTTAAACTTGATCAATTGCTCTGTGAAGCCAAGATCTTGATCATATATGATTTTGTTTGGATCGTAATTTTCATCGGTGTCAAAATGAATATGATCATACTCTTTAATGTTTTCTTTTTGGAACTCTTCTTGATTGATTTTATTTTTGTTATTGTTATAGTTATTATTATTGCTACTATTTTTTTTTCTAATTATTGAATTTATAAAAATGGTAACTACATCTTTACCAATAATTACAAATAATCTAATAAGGTCTTCTATTAGAATACCTAAACAAAGAATTGAAACTAATAATATACCAATCATTATTGAATAGATTGAATAATAAATTAAATTAAAAATGAATTTGATAGGTGAGAATACTATATTTAAAAACATGGAAAAAACTAAAAAAGCTATTAATTCTACTATTTTTTTATTCATTTTGATTATTATTTAAATCTAATGTAGTTATATTATAATTTAAAAAAAATTTTATTATTATTTTTGAAGTTATTAATATTAAAATTTTATAAATGATTATTAAAAAAAAAAAAATATTGATAATAATGAAAAAAAATAATTTATAAAAAATATAAAAAATAAATTATGTGTCAGTAGGGGTAACAAAAATTTAAAAAAAAAATATATTTAAAAAAATAAAAAAAAATTAAAAAAAAAAAATAAAAAAACTAATAGTGAAGATTTTAAAAAAAAGTGTAATTGATCAAATTTTATAGTTTCCATTTATAGGTTTAAATAAAATTTTAATTTTAAATAAAAAAGAACTTTTATTAAATAAATAAATAAAAAATATTTTTTTTTTAAATTTCGACATATACTTCAATTAATGAGTGTAAAACCATTTCGTATTGTTTTAAATTTACAATAACAGATTTGATTGTTTTAAAACTAGCTATATTTCCTTGGTTATTGTTGTGTTTGTTAAAATGTGCCATTAAACTATAGAATACCATTTGGGTCCAATCTTTCCTGGTAAAAAATCACCACTTCGAGTAACGGGTAAAGTAAATTCAACCATAGTTAAACCAATCTATAAAATTATTTATTTAATTTACAAAGTTAAACTTTGAAAATTTTAATTTAATTTTTTATAACTTTTAGTATTACGGCTCCTCAGCAAATCCACAACAATAATTGATTGTTTTGTTATGAAACAAAAATCACTTTTAAGGTGATTTAATTAATATTAATTATTTAATAAAAAACATAATTATACATAAAGGTATATATACTATAAAAATCCATATTTTTTAAAATCTAAATCCAAAATTTCATTTTTTCTCATGTATTATAATTTATATTTGTATATATACATTTTTGTTTTATTATTTATTTATAGTTTTGTGGGGAATTATTTGTTGTGTTAATTTATGTATCAGGTGTATTATTTTAATAAAAAAAATAAAAAAATAGAAAAAATAATAATTTTAGAGAAATCTATTATTGCTTGTAAATATTTTATTTATTATTTTTATTATTCATAAAATATGATTTTATTTATAATTATTTGTTATATAATGATGGACATGAAATATAAATTAAAAAAAAAAACAATATAAAAATTAAAAAAAGATATTACAAACAAAACATAGTCTTTTTCTTTTATTATAAAATCTGTAAAATTGATGAAAGAGACGAAAAAGTTCCTACATTAAAATCAATTGCAACAATTGGTTTTAGAATCAAAATCGTGAAGTTAATCCAAACAAATTTCATAACAATAGTGATAAAGTGGATCACAATTCAACTTAAAAGAAATTATGTTTAGGTTTAGGTGTTTCAAAATCAAGTAGTAATAGGAGAATGGTTATGTCAATTTGTGGTATCGATCCATTATCTCATTCAACCAACCCCAATTTTTACTCATTATTATCAGAAACAATTCAAAAATATATCAGCTCCTGCTCAATTAACATGTGAAGGTTACATTTTATCTAAAATTTATTTTTTATTCATCCAAAAGTCCTGTATTATAACTAATAATCGTCTTTTTCAAGCTCAATTATATATATATATATATATATATTCTCTAAATTTTCATATTCATCAAATTGATAAAATATATTAAATAAAGATATTACAAACAAAACATAATCTTTTCTTATTTTATTTTTTTTTTTTATTTTTTATATAATTTTTTTTTTTTAATTTTAAAAAATATTATAATAAAATAAATTTTTATTGTTTTTTATTATTTAAAACCATGGTAAATTTTTTCCATCTTGAAATTTGGTTAATAAGCTGCCGTTATTGTGGTGATAATTGTATAAAATAAAAAGTAAATTATTGTAATTTATTATCATTATTATTTATTATTTCTATTATTATTTATAATTATATATATATATATTTAAAGCTCTGAAGAATTTTAATATGACCTCTAGTTTGAAACTAATCTACCACACTGATACCACGATTGGCTCTAATACTAATCCACTACCACTGTTACAGTAATTACTATCAATCCTACTATTAAAATTACTATTGTTATTGAATATATGCTGAATCGCAATAATTATAAGTTTGCAAACAAATTTCTAACTACTTAAAATAACTTTTGGGACTTTTTATTTCGATTTCTGCTTTTGATAAGAGAATGGAAACTGTTTCAGCTTTGTTGGGAAGGTGAGGAATTTATAGTTAATGTAGTTCTACCGTTACCACCTAATAACTCTTGTAGAAAATGAGTTAACTACGATTCTCTGTATGTGATATGTGCTAAGTTACTGCGAGTCAATGAATTGATTACATTTCTCAATGATAACAATGATTTATTAATCATTTTAACTTTGTCTAAAATTATACCTTGTACCCATGTTTTTGAAATATTTTCTAAATTAACTTGTTTTGAAGGATGCTTTTTTTTTGAATTTTTTGGGTTGAATATATAAAAGTAATTGTTTTATAATAATATATGGTTTACTAAGATTTTTTTTTATTTATTTTTTATTTAATTTTTGATTAATTTATTTTTTATAATTAATTAAAAAAAATAATTTGAATAATTAAATTGAACAATGATAGTTTATTAAGGAATGAATATTAAAATAAAAAAATATAGTTATTATACTTTCCTTAAAGTGGACTTTTAGATTAAATTTAATAATAAAAACTATAATTATAAAATCTAAATGGCTATATTAGTTAAAAATTATTATTATTATAATTTTTAAAAATGATGTTCGCAATTTCTTTGTGGAAATTTGTGTTTGTGGTAAATTTCATTTTTTTTAATTAAATTTCATATTTTTTAAATTAAATTTTTTTTTTTTTTTTTTTGTGGTGGTGTGGGGGAAATTTTTTTTTTTTTTTTCATTTTCATTTTCGTTTTATCAATATACATTTATTTTATTTTTTATAATAGCCAAGCGAACAAACAAACAGGTAATTATTTATATATATAATATGTGATAAAAAAAATACTAATTTTTTTTTTTTTTTATTCCTCAGCATTTATTGTTTTGGTCCTCAGCATTATATTCATCAGCAGCATTTATCAGCACCATTTATCAACAGCATTCATCTTGGTCCTCATCATTATCATCATCATGAGCATCCTCACCGGCATTCATCTTGGTCCTCAGCGTTATAATCCTCAGAATTCATCTTCAGCATTCATCTTGGTCCTCATCATTATCATCATCATGAGCATCCTCACCGGCATTCGTCTTGGTCCTCCGCATCATTATCATCATCATGAGCATCCTCACCGGCATTCATCTTGGTCCTCAGCGTTATCATCCTCAGCATTCATCTTGGTCCTCATCATCATTAGCGTTTATCTTGGTCCTCATCATCATGAGCATCCTCACCGGCATTCGTCTTGGTCCTCGGCATTATCACCATCAGCATTCATCTTGGTCCTCGTCATCATCAGCATCCTCACTGGCATTCATCTTGGTCCTCATCAGCATCCTCACCGGCATTCATCTTGGTCCTCGTCATCATCAGCATCCTCACCGGCATTCATCTTGGTCCTCACCATCATCCTCATCAGCATCCTCACCGGCATTCTTTGGTCCTCAGCATTATCATCATTAGCAGCATTCATCAGCAGCATTTATCAGCAGCATTCATCGTCTGCATTCATCTTGGTCCTCATCATCAACATGAGCATCCTCACCGGCATTCGTCTTGGTCCTCAACGTTATCATCAGCATTCATCTTGGTCCTCAGCATTATCATCATCATCTGCATCCTCACCGGCATTCGTCTTGGTCCTCAGCATTATCATCATCATCAGCATCCTCACCGGCATTCATCTTGGTCCTCAGCATTATCATCATCATCTGCATCCTCACCGGCATTCATCTTGTTCCTCATCATCATCATCATTCGTCTTGATCCTCAGCATTATCATCATCATTAGCATTAATTTTGGTCCTCATCATCATAATCATTAGCATCCTCACCGGAATTCGTCTTGGCCCTCATCATCGCATTCAACTTGGTCCTCATCATCCTCGGCATTCATCTTGTTCCTCATCATCCTCACCGGATTCGTCTTGGTCCTCATCATCCTCACCGGCATTCATCTTGTTCCTCATCATCCTCACCGGCATTCATCTTGGTCCTCAGCATTATCATCATCATCAGCATTCATCTTGGTACTCAGCATTATCATCATTAGCAGCATACATTAGTAGCATCTATCAGCAGCATTCATCGTCAGCATTCATCTTGGTCCTCATCATCAGCATTAGTCTCGATCCTCAGCATTATCATCATCATCAGCATCCTCACTGGCATTCATCTTGGTCCTCATCATCATCACCATCACCATCATCAGCATTCATCATCAGCAGCAGCATTCATCAGCAGCAGCATCATCAACCCCAAAGCTTTAGAAAAGAACTTTTAGTAAATCAATAATAATTAATAATTTTATAAAAAAAAAAAAAAAAAAAAAAAATAATAAGAGAATATAATCTATTTGATGGAAGAAATACATTTTCCCTGGCCAGGCAAATATATTGGAACATCAATTAGAATTAGGATTCTGAAACATCATTAAATTTTAAAATAAAATATAATAAAAGATAATAAATTTTTTTTTTTATTAATACAGTGCCCGGATTATATATTTAGACCCCCCCAACTTTTTTAAAATGGAAATGATAATTATTGAATTAATAGATCATATTTAATATTTATATAATGACCTCTAAAATAAATCATATTACAAGATATTGGTTTATTTGCTAAAAATTAAAATAAAAAAAAAAAAAAAATAGGGTCTAAAATATTTAATCCGTTTTTTCAATTTCAAAAATTTTATTTGTTTTTTATTTGTTTTTTTTTACAATTATATATAAATGATTATTATTATTTAATATTTAGTATACCCTCCATGTACTTTTAATATGGCATCTATTCGGTCAGGGAGTGATTCATATAATGATTTTATAATTGATTTTTCTATTGAATGAAATGCATCTTGACATACCTGAACTTGGTCTTGTGATGGGTCATGAAACATCTTTTTTGATACCCTTTCTTTAAAAATTGACCAAAGATTTTCAATTATATTAATATCTAGACTGTAGGGTGGTAATGGATAAACTTGTATATTATTTTCTTCTAAATATTGTTTCACTATCTTTGCTGAATGCGAACTAACGTTGTCATGACAAATGATTGGCAACCTATTAGGCACTTTATTTATATCTGCATATTATTCTAAATTTATTTGTGTATCGTTTTTTATAATATCAAGATATTGTTTAGTTCAAAATCCATTTGATAAATGAATAGATAAATTGGACCAAAATAAAGAAAATTTCCCAAAAATATTTAATTAACCCCACCCTTTCTAACATTTGTCTTGATACGTGATTCTAGTAAAACATTAGTATCATAAGCCCAAGAAGACCTACCATGGTTATTATCATATTATTGGAACTTTACTTCATCCACAAACATATAATTTTCTCATTATTCCACAAAAAAATTTATATGCACAACTTTAAAAAAAATCTTTTTCTGCTATTATGTCTAAACAATGAAGGATTCTTAACTTTCTTTTTATATATTATGTTATATCTCTTTAATATAATTCTTACTGACTTGTATGATATTGTTCCAAATCCATTTTGTTCATACCAAATTATACTTTATTTTATATAGTAAATTTACTATTTTAAAAATTTAAACATAAATCACGTTCATCACGTTCGTCAAACTTTCTTTTCTCCCATGACTTTTACGGTCATTGATTGTGCCTGTTTGTTCTACCTTTTCTAATGTTTTTGCTACTTTTGATTTATACACTCCAATTTTTTTGCAATTTTTGAGTTCGACTTGTGACCTCTGTTTTTATATGATAATATTGAGTATCCAACTTCATCACTTAATATCATTTTGTTTATTTACTATATTCTATTTTTAAACTTATATTAACTCTTACTTATTAAATTAATGATAAAAAAAATATAAAAATTTTAAAAATAAAAATGTGGTAAAAAATATAGAAATTTTTTTTTATTATTTTTTTATTTTACCCACGCCCACTCCTTACCATTTATTTCTAAAAATTAATAATTATTAGCGGTAAGGTTCTTCATATAAAAACTATTATTGGTAAATCTTATTTTATAAATGATTTAATAAAAGTTGGGGGTCTACATATATAATCCGGGCACTGTAAAATGTTTATTTTTTACCGTTTTCCTTTTTATTAAAAATAGAACTGTTCAAGTATATAGAGGTTATTTATTCATTCTAGAAATGAAAATCTAATTTTGATTGCTTTAAAACCAATAATTAAAAATATATACACAAATTTATTTTATTTATCTTTCTTTATCTTTTTCTTTTGAAATTGATCTTTTTCTTTCTTTTTTCTATCTTTGGATCTTGACCTTTCTCTGTCTTTATCCCTATTTCTGTCCCTATCCCTATCTCTGTCTCTATGTTTTTCTCTTTCTTTTTCCCCTCCTTTTTCCTTTTTTTTTTCTTTTTCTTTTCTCTTTCTTCTTTCATTAGTTGCTATATTATCTATTTATTTATTTGTTTAAACCAATAATATGTTGACCTCTTAGGATGTGTAATTTTTTTATTTTTTCAATTTCTGATTTGAGTTTAGTATTTTCATTTTTAATGTGTTTAAACGTTGTCATTTCGTCAAACTTTGTTTGAGTTGACTTTATCTATTGATCATTTCCACCTGGTTCAGTGGAACGCTTTATACGGTCAGTAAGTTTAGCATTACTATCTTGATATTGGTCTTAAACAAATTCTAATCAATAACCTATTTACATCTATTTTTGAGATCTCTTAAGAGTGATTCTTTGAGTGTACTAAATTTTAAAGGTAGAAGATTTGTTTCTAAATCTTTTTCCATTGCTAAATTCTTTTTTGCAATTCTATAACTTTCAGATTCATGTTCAATCTCTTTGATTCTATCACCATTGATTTCTTCTGAAGTATTCAATAGGATGATTGGTGAACCATTAACACCTGCATTTGAACTACCAACATTCGATTTCATGCTTTTAATCAATTTCTTTGAAAAACCAATGTTGATGGATCTATCCCTTCTATCAGTATGAGAACTCGGTGAAACTTCTGATATACCAACTAGAGTATCATGACCAATGTTGAAAGATTCTTTACTGAATTTATCTTGAAGAATTATAATCTCTGATTTAATATTGTGATTTTTGGATTGAAGATCTTCTTGGGCTAATTCCAATTGTTCTTAAAGTTCTCTCTTCTTTTTTTAATGGTTATGGACTGTTAGCTGATGATGAACCGATAGCTGATGATGTACTGGCTGATGATGATCTGCTATCTGATGAACCTTTTGAAGAGTCCTCTGATGCGTCTGAAGAGTTACTTGCTATTATACCTGTTGATCCACTTGTTGATGTGCCACCTGTACCACCTGTACCACCTGTACCACCTGTACCACCTGTACCACCTGTACCACTGTGCCACTTTCACCACCCGCAGTAGAACCACCTGTATCAGCACAACCTGCAGCAGCACCCGCATCAGTGATGGTCCTGAAAAATGTGAGGTGTTTTATTAATTATATGATAATAAGTCGAATTTGGTGATGCTTGGGTGTGACTGTTATTTCTTAATGAGGACTGCTTTTGGTTTGGCACTATATTGATTTTTAACTATTAATTTTTATAAAATGTTTTAATATTAGCTTTCTTAAAGGCTTCTAATAACTGAGGACTGATTATTGATTTATTGAGTTAATACTATTATTCTTTTTATATAGATGACTAAAATGGGTATTTAAATTATATGGATGACTAAAATTGGTATTTAAATTTATTTAATTCAATATTTAAATATATATTTGATTGATTTTTTTGAATTATTTGATTGATTGCTAAAATCCTGTTTTGATAATGCTTCAGAATCTAATACTGAAAAGATTTCGGGTAGGTCATATTCTAATATTCACTTTTAGATATTAAGACATCATCTACATTATTAAATTGTGGTTGTTAGCTTGATTTATTCTTTATCTAGCATATTTCGATTTAATTAAAGATATGAGAATAAGTTGCAATCTGCATAGGTTTTACTTTTCATTTCTACAATGAATAAATAGCCTCTATTTACTTGAACAGTTCTAATACTTGGTAAGTCTGATTATAAGTTTGCATTTATAAAGTAGAAAAAATGGTGGGAGATGCCAGTAGAAGGATGAATAATAATATACTATATGAGAATAAAGCAATACCAATTAGTTGTGGTCATTTGTATTGTCTTCGAAAGTTGAAGTTTACCCTTTTCCTTATCTAAACTATTTGTGTTCTATCACTGTTGCTTGGGCCAAGGCAAATGTATTGAGATTCATATAAATGGTTGATAAGATTGAATATCTTCATTAGTGTTTAGTTGGATCTAAGTTTAATCTTTTTTTTGCCAATGTTTTTTTCATACATGATAACTGTGCACTAGCGTCTATAAAAGCTGAACGGTACATTCATTAACGCTTTTGAATTTTTACATGAACTTGTAATTGATTTGAATTTTGCTTTATCTGATTTACTCGAGATTGAAAGACTTTGAAAGAATTTGAGTTTCTGCGACTTTGACTTTTTATGATAGTATTTGATATTAGTTTTGAGATATTATAATATAGAAGCAATATTTCGTGGTTGGAATTATTAGACCAAATCTTTATATAATTGATTAAAATCCTTTCATTCATAATATCGACCACAGCAGATCCTGTTGGAGTATTGAATGGCATGTTTTAATTGTTAAATCTGTCTTTTGAAAAGTTATTTTAATTTATATTAGTAATTCTGTTTCTATTTCTTCAACGATGCCATTTTCTATATATATAAGGGTTTGTTGTTGTTGTTGTTTTAAAATAATGTATTGATTTACTTATTTGTTCTCAAAAGGTTTTAAACATATTTCAGTAATGTTATAATTATTATTATTTATTGGATGTGCTATAGTTTACATTATTAAATTATTTATGTGTTTGTTTGTTTGTTGTGATCGAAAAAAATAAAATAAAAAATAAAATAAAAAAAAAATTAAAAAAAAAATTAAAATTTTTTTTTTTTTTAAAAAATATCGATTTTTTAAAATAAATATAATTTTAAAAATTTAAAATGGCAATGATAACGTGTTGATATTTGCTAAAAATTGGGGGTATACTTTTGAAAAGACAGCATATATGAAAATAAAATAAGAGAGTAATTAAATCAGGTATTATTCCCCTACTGTGATAACGATAATTGATAAAAACTGAAGATAATCATAATATTTCAATCACTATTAAAAGCTTAATAAACACTAAAGTAATAGTAATTAGTCACTCTGTTGCAGGAAAACATATTAAAAGTAATAATATTAAAAAGTAAAATTTATATCCAATTAGAGACTACAACGAAAATTGAACCTAATAATATCACCAGCAGTCTTAAATAAAATATTAATTAAACAACAAAGTACTACGATCAAAAAATTAAATAAATAAAATAGTTCTATTTTAATAACATTAAAAAATATACAAATATGCAAATAAATAAATTTTTTTTTTTTAATTAAATATTTTATTTTTCTTTATTATAATCAAATAAAATTTTGTTTATTTATATTTAAATTCTTTTTTTTTTTTTTAATTATTTTATAAATTAATACTAAATTGTGAAATATTTGGTGATACTAAAGAGTATGGAAATGATTCTAATAAAGAATTTGATATATAAATAAACATATGTTTTTTATATACATAAAGACCAATAGCAAAGGCGGCAATAAAGATGGAACCTGCAACTATAATTGGATAATTGGTACTACCTTTTACATATTTAGCAATAGAATTCATAGCAATAAATGGTAAATCACTATTACTATGAATATTTAAACGACTGATTTCACCTGATTTTTGTTTACCTTCTTCTTCAGTTGGTAATTTTATAAATTGAATATGAACATATGATGGTTGACGGCAAAAGAATGGAATTTTAATTGAACGGGCTTCTGGTAATGGGCTGCTAATACTCTTTTTGTTTCTAATAGTCACAATAACATTTTGTGGATCATTTGATTGTTTTTGACAAGTGACTTTGAATGAATTATTATCACCTGGAGTGATTGAGAGTGAGTTTTGTTCTTTATTATCTGATGAAATAAATTTGGAATAAATCTTTGGTTGTAAAAGCCATGTCTCTTTACCACCACAGAAAGAAACCTCGGCCGATGAACCTAAACTTAATAAAAATTCTATTTGATCAGCTGGTGGAGAAGCAAAAATACGAATTTCTTCTCTCATTCCATTGTATTGAACTGAAATAACAGTTGAGCCTTCTTTTAGAGCCAAAAATTCACGAGATGAACATATGTCACTTGATATCTTTTGTTGGTCGACCTTTTCATGTGGTAAAATTTTGAAAATGGAATCATCTTTAACTTTCCATTCTAAATTATTAATTGAGCAAGATTCGAAATAAACTCCTTTTGGTAAATGCTTTGATAATAATTTAGTTGAGAGTACTAATTTTTTACCAACTTCGACCTCTACTTGAGATGATGAAAAAACAATTTGGTCTGGTTCTTGAACATTGACAACAGATCTAGCAAAATTATTATTAGCAATAACACCCTTAGAATTGACATCAACAATGGATGTATTTCCAACTTTTGGATTCCAAATATAAGTTGAGTTTGGAATATCTATAAAAAAAATTAAGGTTAATATTTATTATCCAATATTTACTTTTTAAAAAAGTTCTATTTTTAGTTAATAATTTATAGTACCTGGAATGCAAAGTGAAGAACTTGGATTTAATTGGGGTGTTACTGGGGTAAATCTTGATAAAAAAAATAAAAATATAACTAAAAATGATAGAAATAAAATTTTATTTACTATCATATTTAGGTTGATTTTATATACATAAAGACCAATAGCAAAGGCGGCAATAAAGATGGAACCTGCAACTATAATTGGATAATTGGTACTACCTTTTACATATTTAGCAATAGAATTCATAGCAATAAATGGTAAATCACTATTATTATGAATATTTAAACGACTGATTTCACCTGATTTTTGTTTTTTCAATGATAAAATAGAATCTTGATGTATTGGATTCGATGATTGAATAATTTGTTTACCTTCTTCTTCATTTGGTAATTTTATAAATTGAATATGAACATATGATGGTTGACGGCAAAAGAATGGAATTTTAATTGAATGGGCTTCTGGTAATGGGCTGCTAATACTCTTTTTGTTTCTAATAGTCACAATAACATTTTGTGGATCATTTGATTGTTTTTGACAAGTGACTTTGAATGAATTATTATCACCTGGAGTGATTGAGAGTGAGTTTTGTTCTTTATTATCTGATGAGAAAGTTTTGGAATAAATCTTTGGTTCTAAATGCCATGTCTCTTTACCACCACAGAAAGAAACCTCGGCAGATGAATCTAAACTTAATAAAACTTCCATTTGATCAGCTGGTGGAGAAGCAAAAATACGAATTTCTTCTCTAATTCCATTGTATTGAACTGAAATAACAGTTGAGCCTTCTTTTAGAGCCAAAAATTCACGAGATGAACATATGTCACTTGATATCTTTTGTTGGTCAACCTTTTCATGTGGTAAAATTTTGAAAATGGAATCATCTTTAACTTTCCATTCTAAATTATTAATTGAGCAAGATTCGAAATAAACTCCTTTTGGTAAATGCTTTGATAATAATTTAGTTGAGAGTACTAATTTTTTACCAACTTCGACCTCTACTTGAGATGATGAAAAAACAATTTGGTCTGGTTCTTGAACAATGACAACAGATCCAGCACAATTATTATTAGCAATAACACCTTTAGAATTGACATCAACAATGGATATATTTCCAACTTTTGGATTCCAAATATAAGTTGGAGTTGAGTTTGGAATATCTATAAAAAAAATTAAGGTTAATATTTATTATCCAATATTTACTTTTTAAAAAAGTTCTATTTTTAGTTAATAATTTATAGTTTATTTTAGTACCTGGAATGCAAAGTGAAGAACTAAGATTTAATTGGGGTGTTACTGGGGTAAATCTTGATAAAAAAAATAAAAATATAACTAAAAATGATAGAAATAAAATTTTATTTACTATCATATTTAGGTTGATTTTATATAAATATATATAAAATATATAAATATATAAAATAATAAAGAAAGA